ATTTAACTACACACACAGGCACTGGAAGCAGTTTGAAATGCCCTAAATCATCCTGTCAAGCTTTTAGATACTGCTGCAGGAGGATATTGCTCTACTGTAGGCCCTGAGTTGCATTTCCTAGCCCATACACAAATTACTTGAGCATCATTGATACATCTGGAGAGAGCTGAGATGGTTTGAAGTGTGCATGAAGTTGAGTCTAGAAAAAAAACCAAACAATTAACTCCTCAAAGAGTTTCTGTTGGGTAATGTTATGATCTTGTTATATAAACTCCATCTTTCAGAGTAACTCCTCACTACCTTCCAACATAAAACCCACTCTTGAAGAGAGAATCTGAAAAGCCTCTAAACCAAAACCAAATCAATTCTTTGACAGCCCAGAAACACAGCCCAGCCTACACCAAAGCACATCAATTTCTGTTCCTCAGTGTGAAACAGCAGTCTTTAATCAACACACCTCCGTTACCAGTGGTAACACTGGGATCCTTCCCTCCTGTTAAAGTACAGAAGAAAAGAGGTCCTTGAAAAGTTTGCAAGTAAAATACAAATAAAACACAACAAGGAACTCAAACCAAATGAAGCCAAGCACTACATATAAATGGAGTAGGATATAGCTGAAGTATTAAAGTTTAAGTATACTAACATGAGAAACCAATGCCTACATTAAGAGTAAACAGTGAGTTCCAATGTCAAAGAATGGTCCGAGAGCCGTGGGACAGGCTGAACACCAGATCACCAGACACTGCTCTAACAAGGCAGTACTTTGCAATGCAAACTGTAGTGCTGCATAGGAAGCACCAACTTCTCTTCCTGTCACAAGGATCACCATTCATCTGCATGTTAGAGGCTAAAATCTACCCCTAGGAGAGCTCACCAGGAATATACACTCTGCTGTAACCATGCATTTAACAAAAAGCAAGCTCACAAATCCCAGAGTAAGAGTCAAGAATGAGCATTTGTCATAGTATCAGATCAAGTTCTAAAAAGTACTTGCCTTCATGCACCCCTAGTTTTACAAAGAATTTTCCTTAAAAAAACAGTGAAAAGAAACTGTGACTGTCTCCAGTGCAACACACAGCACATAACATTAACTCTGCTCCATTTGGAAGTGCTCGGAGCTGTTTCCAACAGTATTACAGATTTTCATTTGAAGTCTGAAGGCACTCATCATTTTAAAACTGCCACAGAAGTCTTAATACATTCTCCTCTTTTCTACAGATGAATTAAGATGCCTCTGTTTATAAAGAAAACTTTCTGTAACTGCAAGAGCAGTGCAGTATAGCTCAGTAGAGTTGAACAGACTCAATTCATAGCACAATTTCAAAAATTCTTCACATCCATAAATTTACAGGAATTATGCATATGAATGCTGCTCTTCACATCCTCAATGACAATCACGGTATAGAGTCCCACCTGCATTCTGTGGGCTTCACTACGTGCCACTTCAAACTGTATAAAAAGTACAAATGTTTTAAAGTATTTATTCAATTTCATCTTTGATTTTACCAGTGCACATTTTTAGAAAACATGACCTCAGTCCTTAGTTGGCTTGAAATATCAATTACAACTTGAGTAGCTCCTTAAGAAGTTGCTAGTTCCACAGAAAACTCAGCAACAAGTTGAAAACACCGCCATTTTAGAAGATAAATTCTCTTATTATTCAGGACAGAACTGTTCCAATAGTGTTTCAACACAGCAGAACCTACAAGGGCTGCAGTTCACCAACAGAAATGTGCATGCTATACACGCAATTCTACTGCCCGCTTTAGGAACGATAAAATGCATTACATTCAGCTGAAAGCACATGTATTTTTATGTTGTACTATCTTGAAATATTCATGTATGTGCAAAGATCAATTCAAATACTTTTTACAAGAATTTGTGAAAAAAAATAGTTTGGAGTCACAATTACCCAAGTTAAAGAATGTCTTAAACATCTTAAAGAAAAAAAGAAAAAAAAAAGTGTTTACTTTGAAACCTTCTGACTAGAAAAAACTCAAGAACTTATGCTCAAATCCAAAGCTTAACTGAGGGTTTTAGGCCTCTGGTCACTGACACTGCAACTATCCACAAAGTAGAGAGGCAGCATAGGAACTACTAGTTTTCATTAATTGGCGTGCACATAACACTGCTGACACTGCCAGAACCTTGGGAAGAAGTAGAGCCTGTGCTCAATACTCTTCAAGCTGACAAAGGCAGCGATCAGTCCATGAAGTAGATAACCTGCTTTTGAATAAACAAACAAAACTGGGTGTTAAGCAGAGGGAGAATGTCTCTCTAGGTCATTAGTGCAGAGGTATGTTGTTAAGTCCACTGGTGCACCAAGGCAAGATGGATCACTGCCTCTACAGGAGGGGCTATGGCAGCTGCAATATCCCATGGAAACACTGGCAGCAGCGGTACCTCCATTTGATAAGCTGGATAGCTCTGTGCACTGTGCTGTACAACCTTACTTCTAAGGAACTCAAAGGGCAGGGCCTCAGTTTTCTTTAAGACTATAATTTATTTAACAGCAGAACTAAACTTCGTGGCTTTAAGGTTAATCATGAATACTGACATTTTCAGAGACAGGAAGTCTGTTCCCAGTATTGATGAAGTACAATCAAAATCAAACAGAGTCAATGTCAGTCTCCCACTAGCAGCTACAACATCTCAAGTATACAATTTGTGATAAAGATATTTGATTGAGAACCAACTATTTTGTTTAATAGATTTTCAATCAAAGATAAACAAAAGAACTGAACGCTCTCTCCTATCTTCTTCACACTAGCTTCCTACTCAACATCTTGCTCAGATTTTTCCAGGTTTTCTATCACACAATCATAAAACAACTGAGTTTGACAGGGATCTCCAGAGTTCATCCGGTCCAATCCCCTGCTCAAACAGGATCAACTGGAGTGGGACTTCCAGGACCACTCCAGATGCCTTCTGGCTGTCTCTAAACATGAAGATTCCACAACCTCTCTAGACAACCTGCTCCAACACTGTTGCCCTCACAGTACAGCTGTGCTACCTTATGATCAGGCAGACTCCTGTGCTTCCATTTGTGGTCATTGCCTCTGGTCTCTCCTCTCCTTTCCCAATGCACTGATGAGACTCTTACCCTGAACTTTCTCTATACTGAACAATTCCAGCAAATCTCTCAACCTGTTCTTCATGTGAGAGAAGCTCTTATAATTAATTATCTTAGTGGCCTTTCACTGGACTCTGTCCAGTAGCTCTGTTTCTTTTACTGTGGACCCCAGAAGTGGACCCAGTACTCCAGATGTGTCCCAACCAGTGCTGAGATCACTCATCTGAACTGAAATTTTTTTCTAGTACTTCCTAAGATTCTTATTTTACTGCATACAGTGAAGAAGTTGCATCTACCCAGTTCAGAGCCCACCTGTCGCACTATAGTAGGAATGGCAAAGTACGACACACACTCTCTTAGCTGGGTTGCCCAAGAGAGCAAGTTTTATTATTCCAGATCTTCTTTTATAGACAGTTCAGAGAATTAAAACTCTCATTGGTCATTAAACCAACACATCACTATTATTGGACAAATAGGAACTACACCCTTTGACTGTTTCTTGCAAGTAAACAACAAGGATCCAAACAACACCTGCAAAGGTTGTTGTTCTTCTCTAAGGACTGTCTGGATTCCTCCTAATGCTTTCTCAGGCCAGAGTGAGAACCTTGTGTGACTTAGTTTCACACAGGCTCTGTGTTCCCTGCCTGCTTTCAGCATCCATACCCACCCGTTTCACTCATCAGTATTTTGCTAGATGCTTCCTCCAATCCTCCCTTTCCTACTTTCAGCTGATCTCACACTAGATCCAACTGCCCAGTTCAGCTGCCTATCTTCTACCAGACTTTTCCTCTAGCTACTTATCTAATTCACCAACTAGCATTCTACTGCATTCAACCTCTAGCCCTTCCACCTCTTTTCTAATCCTTCATTAGTCATCTAACAGCTGATGATCCTGAAATAGCAAACCATTATATATAAAGATATAATTAAAAGCTGAGCTGAATTACCCCTTAATGTTGCCAAAGATAATAAATTACTTTTAAAAATATTAAAACATTTACAAACATTATTACAGAGATAAATCTGTATCTACATACCGAACAGAAAGAAAGCTTGCTTTTTCAAGTACATTTCTTGCAGCTTTCAGTATGAAACTTTCTCACAGTAAATACTGAACACAGGATCTGTTCTGCTTTATAGGCCAGCATTTTGCTGAGTTGAACATACACAGAGAGATTGCATAAGAATCCCAGCACCCCTGAAAAGACCTTCACTAGAGGAAGCAACGTCGCAAGCCAGAAGACCTTCAGCATGAGGGTAAAAATAATACTTTGACAATTTTTTTATCACATATTGCTTCCTTTAATGAATGCTTCCTACATGAAGAATTCAGGCCTCAAGAACTATTTTATCTGAGTCTCTAGGAGCTCTACACCCCAAGCCAACAAGTGACATGAATTTGGGAGAATGTTTAGATTATGTATGCAACTGCTCCTATTCTGATAGAAGAAAATCAGTCCTTCTAGGACACAAGTTCACACTGAGAGTTATGGTGTTAACAGTTACAGTTAAGCTGTCCCATTCAGAAGCTCTCAAAGTTTTATTTTTTAATTTATTTACAGATCAAAAAAGAGAAATCCAACAGACTTAGTTAGCCTGCTCAAATTCTCAAGAGGAAATTCTAGTATGCATTTTTTCTGTCGAACATTACTTCAACTTAGAGAGACACTGAAGATATCATTTGATGGTTTGGCAAACCAGGCCTTCCAACAAAACATGAATTGGCAAGCCATCTCTGTTCTGTACTATAAAATTAATCAAGAAGCAGGTACGAAACAAAGATTTCAAATATTATGCAAAATACCAGTTGTTTGCCTCATTTTCAGGACTAATTCTAATACAAGTACACTAGCTATGTTTGTTTTGTACGAGTAAGGTTTTAACCAAACTTTAGATACACATAACTAAAAACCAGGGGATCACTTACCAAAGAAGTCAAATGAAAAGGGGTCCCGTCCGCCAAAAAACTCCCTGAAGACATCATCTGGGTTGCGGAATGTAAATCCAAAATCAAATGGATTATCATGATGATTTCCACCTAAAAACAAAACAAAACAAAAAAACCAAAACAAAACAGAAAGTTAAATTTTGGTTACCTTCACATATTCTTACTAATAAGAAAGTTTAGGCCTATAAGGTACTTGAATTATCTAAAAATTTAAACTATTTCCAAAATTTCTCTTTCAGATATCATTCAACTTAAATACACACATTACTTCACTACTTTTTAAATTAGTTTCTCTGTTTTCAGATACCAGTAATACTTTTTGTAATAACTAGAAGAACTGTAAAACAATTGTAATCTCATTTTTCAAAAGACTGAATTTTAGGCCTTAGTACAAGCATTTCCAGAGTCCTGTCTTGAAAAGAAAGCTACAGAAAATAGAGAAAGCAAAGAATTGCTGGTTGTCAACATACCTCCACCTCCATTTATTAGGCCTTCTTTTCCATATCTGTCATAGATGTCACGTTTTTTAGCTGAAAGGAAAAGTTGTACATTATTTAAGTAAACAAGTTTGCTGGTTTGGTGAAAAAATAATTTCAGTATTCTGAAAGGTATTCTCAGTTAAGCATCTTCTCAAAGCTAGTTTGAGGAAGTTCTGGCATATAACTGCTGAACATCTTTAACAAGGACTGCCAAAGCAGTTTAGTTCAGAAAGGACAGTTACTGAACTTCAAACACTACCATTAAGTTGTACAAGGTCCGGTCCCGATGTGTGAGAAAAAGTTCGGTTTAAGGACAAATTTCACATCAAAGTTTGCCTTTAGGAAGAATATGGCAGTTTTCTTCTTTGGACAGTTACCATGGAAAGCTTTAAGGCTGTGAAAGACCTCTGGACTTCAACCTGCTCCTCCACACAAGCCCAATTGTGGAGTTGGTCACATCTTGCCTGAATAAAGCTGCCTATCGCATCAACTTCTGAAGCAAGGTTCGACAGCCTCTCTGGAGAACAGTTCCACTGCTCAAGCATTCCCTTCCTTCTATCCCACTTGCAAACCTTGACCATTGCCTCTTTTCCTTTTATTGTGCAAAACTGAGCCCATTGTGGGAGAGTTATGAGAACAGAAGACCGGCCTTTACATGAATAACTGCAAAACCCCTAAAATTAATTATAATCTCTTCTGCTAGCTTAATAATGGAGAATGAAGTGATGCTCCAAAATGCCACAGAAGGATGTGACTCAAACTGCTTGCTCTCTATTATTTTAGAAGGCATGGAATGACTGCTAATTTCACTGCAGACCAGCCTTACAGTATTCATGAGAAAGGAGAGAAAAATGAAGTCTACATTACTGCACAAGATCAGATGGCACTTTAGTACTGAAAGGAACCTGAAGACCTTGAAGAGGCAGAAAGACAGCTCACTTTGCTTGCAAAGGTGCAAAAGGTGCGGAAGTATTAGTCAAAAACCAATCAGGGCATCTGATTTTAGTCTCTTAATATTATCACGCTTTTCCCATGGAATCTCTTCTGTGAAAGATGTTTTTAAAATTTAAAGATTATCACTGAAAAAACATGCAGTTGCCTCAAAGAGATGCTGGAAATTAAAATACTTCTGAATAACAGGAAATAAAATTTTATATAATAGTTATCATCTCAAAAAATAGGAGCTTGCAATAGGTTCACAAGCGGACAAATGCCCAAAGATCGATACATTATCGACCTGACTTTATCTGTACGGACTTTCTAGAAACCAGTTTTTAAAGAAAGGAGTTAACCTATTCATCAAATTACGAAGAAGCAGGAAGGTAGATAAACTGTCATGGGCAGGAAACAGCAAAGATGCCTTGCGGGCTCACAAAAACCAAAATTCATCTAGAAAAATGTTCCATTTTTGAAATCACAAGGTTTCCCACACGGGAAGTGTGTTCAATGATCACCCAATTTCAATATTCTTTGCTTATGTAATCCCTTACAAAACTACTTTTCTGCCAAAAATCAGTCACCATTCAAGCCTGTAATGGTGTCAGAAAATTTCATTAAGTTTGCAGAATATTTGACTGCCTCTTAACCACTGGGCTCAGGATTGTGGTATCCCTGCTGCACAAGCAATTGTTAAGACACTAGTAACTTAGGATTTGGCCTAGATCCAGAACCTGGCAGCCCTTTTAGAAGATATTCTAAAATTCTAGCAGTGTACTGTTTCCAAAGAACTTAGAGATCCATATAACTACCAGACCAGTATCCTATTTTTATCCTGCTCAAAAAAATTAGCTTAAGAAGGATAAAGTACTCTGGAAGGTAAGTATTACAATGAACTAATGATAAATTAAGTTCTTTTTCTCCCTTGTCAATTAAGTACAAAACCAAGCAAAGAAACACAGTGTACAGGACTGCAGCTCACTAAATCAGGCTGAACTCTGAGAGGTAATCTAGATGCTGCTAGTGCTTTAAATATAGCTTTCCCAAGCTCACTGTCTCAGGTGAAATCAAGGACACTTCAGAAATAGCATATAGACAGCTGCAGTCAATTACAGAGGAAAAAAATCAAAGTAGCTTAAATCGCTTTGTTATGATTCAGGCTGCTTTTGTCAGAACACTGGCAAAAGTTAATGATACTCTTCAAGCAAGAAGACTTGGGTGAACTGTTAAATGCATTCCTACACCGTATGGGTCAGGCTAAACACCTCTTTCAGAATAATTCAAAATAAACACTATCTTTAGTGTCACAGCTGACTGAATTTACAGAACTCGCTCAAAGGCAATTCAAATTTTCAGCAAGGTTTACAGTATGCTTGGGCTTTGTCACGAGTAGTTGACTGTAACAAAAACTAGAAGCTATAGGCCCAACGGTGGATACTTCAGAGCTGGTCCAGCCTGACTTTAAAGCATAAACACAATACCCTTACACTGACTGTAACACTGGCCACACCTGCTAAGATTAATTTTATCTTGGGAATCACAAAAATCTCTACAGAAATTTTTGGCAGACACTGATTTTCAGATTCTAGTAGTTTGGTTACATATCTAGGGAAATCCTGAAATTTTGTTTCAAAATTTCTGATTTTTCTGTCTTAGCTGCAAGCTTCTTTCTCTTTCTTTTGATAAGAAGTAGTCAAGTTGGATGGTAAACCAAAATTACAATATCCCTTCAAAGCACCATTGATCAACATTTTCACTCTGATCCCCAGAACAGATGCAGGCAGTTCAGGAGTCCTTTTGAAATACCTACCATCTGATAAGACTTCATAGGCCTCAGCTACTTGCTTAAATTGCCGTTCCGCCTCATCTTTATTGTCTGGATTTTTATCGGGGTGCCATTTTAGTGCCAATTTACGGTACCTGAATGGAAGGAAAAAAAAAGGATATTTTACTCTGAAATAATGGGATATGCTATACAGATAAACACAATGTTGTCAGGTTCAACAGGTTGTCAGGGACTGAAGTAAGAAATTCCTGATGCTTTGTATCTTGCATCTAGATGTCAGGAACAACAGATCCTGCAGGTACACCTACTCATGTTTTAAATTAGAAAGTAGGTTTGGGATTCTTTATTCACTCTGAATTTACTTACTCCTGTGCATTTCTGATGATCAACATCTGCAAGACCTAAGCACAACATTCCAAAATATCTCTGCTGTGGGCTTCTCCTTAAAGCTCCATAATTATTCAGTACTACAACCAATCAAGGGAAGTATCAAGAACGATCTGGTATGCTAAAAGTTGATAAAGCTCCAAGAATACACTGACTGTGACATCCTAACATCAATGCCTTCTTTGACAGCTACACCTGCACACAATTACTATCCTCAAATGAAACATTTTAGGCAAAGTGTTCATCACTTCTTGCTTAGAGTGGCAAAGCTAAGCGTGCATTTAGGTTGAGGTGTTTTGCAATCATCCAAGATCACAGTTCAACCATTTGAGTTGATAAAGTGGCATGCAGGAATTTGCAAAAGAACATGGGAAGGCAACAAAGTGTGAATCCAGAACTCATGTAATTATATCTGTCCCTTAAAATCCGTAACATCTACACCAGTGACACTCACGCTTTTTTGATATCCTCTGCTGAGGCATGTTTCTGCACTCCCAGAACTTCATAGTAATCCACCATGTTTCAGGGGTTGTCTTGGTAACAGCAGCCAAGTCTTTCAAGTCCTGTAACAGCAACAACTTGTAAATGAAGCGTGTCCAGCTACTGCTACTTCATAAAAGTCAGGTAACAGCCTGGTATTGCCTTATACCAAACCTGATCAAAGAAAGACAAAGCTCAAATGTTCCAAACCCCAAAAAATAAAACCACTTTAGGTCAAGAGATCAAACAATTACTTTAATTCAGATTTTTATGTTCTTTAATCCCACTGAAACACAGTACACAAACACATAGATATACAGCAGTTCCTGAAACAGATTATACTGATAAGCTAAATTCAATCAGTATTTTAATAAGTGTATCTGGATCAGTTTTGATGTAGATATTAGTAACTCAATGCAAAAGTTCACCTGTTATCTATAACCTGTCACGTCTTAAGCACATATGGGCATAAACAAAGGGACCCATCTTTCACATCTGTTCTTCAGTACATTACTTCCACTGAGATGCTCCCTTCAGAAAAGCATGTGCAAGTATGTGCAAGTCTTGCAAATTTAAAACTCAACCTTACTGAGTCCAATAAGCCTTTCTTGCACTCAGACTTTGACAAAAAATGTGCATGTTGCCAAAGCTACTGAATACCATTTGCCTCCTTTATGTTTACCAAGAGAAGAACATAACTAGGCAAGCTAGTTCCAACTGCAAGGTAACCGATCAACTCAAGTGCAGAGGCACCTAGAGTTTGTTAGTATGAAAGAGTCCTGAGAAACCTAGAAGTTGAAAAAGCAATTTGAATACTGACCATTTCTTGTCAACATTAGAGAATAATTACAACGTACAGTTACACTGACCCTTACTCCAACTAAATGACCACTAAGATGAAAGAACCTTTCTAAAAAGTTTCAAGAAATGTTTTGTGTCTTCATGCAATGCTGCCTTTCCCTCCACTACTGTAAAAAGTCTCCACTCTGGCAAAATTTCCAACCTCCTTTCCATCCTACACCACTGCTGGTTTGTTTCAAGTTTAATGAACAAGGAAACTTTTCAACAAGTGACTTTTTCCAGTACTTATCAACTTGTTGCAGGGAAAGTCACCTAAATACACTCAGAACATAACAATACAGCAATGTATTAGTCACATATTCTTATCTCATGCAGCAAGAACAAAAATTCATTGAAATATCCTTCCCCCCCTCAAGTCATTCAGTGTTTTTCATTTTAGCCTAGGCAAAGTCTCAGTTTCCTTTTCTTTCCCATAAATGCAGAAAGAACCAAGTAGGATGTAGCCTAGTTAAATATTCTGAAATTAATTTATTATACTCCTTCCGCATGTATCTTTCAACATCCTGGGATATAAACATTGAAAAAAATACTTCCTTTTAAAATAAATTGGTACATCTTCAAAATATGTTCTTGCTGTAGGTTAAAGCTTAATTAACTTTAATTATGGATTGTGGTTACATACACACATTTCCTCAAATGGCAAAACCAGTTTAAGTGATACCCTGCCATGCTTCCTTCCCTCTCCAAACTACATACAGAAGCAAACGTATTGGAGGACCCACGTGTTTAAAACTTGGGTGGTTTTAGAAATCTACTTAACCACACAGTCCCACAAACACAAAATTAAACTGTAGCAAGTAAATAGCCCTTTGAAGAAATCTCCACATCAAAAAAAACCGTAAGGGTATAGTTAATACTGTGACCAACACCAAAGGAAGTTGGGGGACGTGGATCAAAATTAACATTAAGAATGCCAGTAATAATACACTAATGGCAGGGTTCAGTATGTAAACATACAGATTACCAAAAATATCCCAGGATATTTGCTATCAGATGCCCTCTCTAGTTTTGCTGTTTCCCACACAACAATTAGAACAGCTCTGTGAACACAGATGTGAGGAGCAAAGTCAGTATGGGTTAAGTATGTTATCAAATCCCATAGCCACCCTTATGAGCAATATAAAATATGGAAGGTACAGTTTACAAAAAAGAAATCAGAAGGCGGGAATCCAGTATGAGTAAAGCTTAAGGCTGGAGGTCATAGTCCCTTCTAACAAGAGGTATCAGCCTAAAACTAGTAAGCAAACAGCAAGAGCAGGACAGGACAGGAGCGTACAGCGTAACACTAAGCGTCCCTTCCATATTCTCCTTTTCTTACATACAAGACTTTCATTAGCTCTCCTCTCAATTCTGGTACCTATCTTAGAGGGAAAATTAAAAAATCAAGATTCTAATTAGAAAAAGCATGTAGTAAAAGCAATTAAGATGTAAAAAATAAGTCACTTCTTTTCCTAGAGAACTTTGTGCACACAGGTAGTCATATTGATTTCAACACAGTATGTTTTTATAAACTTTCTTGCTTGTTTAAAAGCAATGCTGCAGGGCTGTTAAGTTTAAACTCAATACAAACACCATATATCCTAGATGACAGAAGCCTGAAGTTGGGACAAAAAAACAGAGCTGAAGCAACATGACCACCTCTTAACAGACAACTCTGACCCTAAAAAGCAACTCCTTCAAGACAGAAATTATTTGTTTCAAAGAAATGTCTGGGGATTGCATATTCTGTCTTTAGTAAGTGTTTTTGTTCAGTTTTTACTTACCAGTAGTTTAAAACCTGGAATTAAAACAAGCCAGAAACTATCTAAAGAAAAAAAATTCTTAATGTTCTCCTTCTCCTAATCAAAGTATCGCCATAGTCAGGTGACAGCAAGAATTCATCTCTGATATACTGTTATTTCTATCTGCTAGTTATCATAAAACATAAACTGTATTGCTGAAATTTTAGTTATCATAGGAACTTTTTTGGTATGTAAAAAGGTTTTAAAAATATTTACAAGAAAAAAAAATTCATCTACAACTTTTCTTGTCCAGTCTAAGAAAAGGTTTCAGCTAATATTTAGCCCCTCAACAGCCAGTAAGACTGACCAAAAAAACACCACACACATCCACAAAAACCCTTCCCCAAAAAAATCCAACAATACTCACAAACTAGAAAAGACCTCAATCTGCAGTCTTCTCAGGACAGAATTATTTAAAATATTCACTCAAGAAAACAGCCACCATCAGCTTATAATAAAGCAGAATATGGATAACCACTGACTTAGAAAATAGAAGATGGCAAATTAAAAACAAATAAATCAGTAGTTTTAAGGCTAGTAGGAACATGCATGGTAAAAATGCCTAGACGTTTCAAAGATGCAAACCATATACCTCCCTTCAAGAAACCACTCAACTGTCCTAACCAAAATGACATGACAAAAATCTTCTCGGAACAATCAATCTGTCAAAACAATTTGTCTCCAAATATACAAGCAAGGCTCATTAATTAGGCACTTCAAGTTTTTCTAAAGCCATGAAGAATCCAGCCCACATTGGCTGACATCCTCCCTCCATCCACAGAAAATCTACAAAATCTCGGAAGAAAAGACAAGCAAAAAAAAAAAAGCCCAAAACAGCTGAAAGGAGGTGTTTCATGGCCTTGTCTGCTTGCAAAAATCCATAGTTCCTTGAGCTGGGAACTGCACTGTTTACAGTGTGCTATCAGCTACTCCAACTCCTTCTTTGGGGTATGAAAACCAAACAGGCAAATGTTTATATGAAAGGTTTCTATAGTTTATAGATTTCTCAGTCATCACAGGAGAAGGCATCTGTGTTCTGGGTTATGGAGCAGTGGCCCTGAACTCAAGGCAAGTGACAAGGGCCACATGACCAAGCTCAGGCCGTCCTTGCACAGCTCAGCCCAGCACTCGGCCAGTTACCCAAAACCTGACTCAAAAACTCTCTTTACAGCACAGTCCTCAGCTACAAAAAAAGCATGAGAAGTATTACTGAAAACATACAGAGCTCTAAACTTTTGTAAGAACAGATGACAGAGAAAAGCAAGTAATCAGACAAACAACCCGCAGGGATGACAAAGCAGCACTCCTAACTAAATACAGAATGGAAGAAAGCATCCAAACAAGAAATTCTTCAAAGCAGCCAGGAGGGAATTCAGACAGCAAGGGACATGCGACCTTTGCAGTCAGCTTAGTCAGAAAAAGTTATCTATTTCTGGCCATGAAGCAATGGGCAGCACAGAGAGCCCTCAAAGATGCCATAACAGCTTGAGCTCAGTGACTACAGCAGTCACCTGGAGAGCGGGATGGAGTTCCAAACTCCTGATTCATGCAGTTCACAGAGCAGGCAGTCATAAACATCCTCTTCAAGTCCCACAGCCACGCAGGTCCTAGCACCTGCCTGCCTTCCATGGACTTACTTAAAGGATTGCATCCTGCTGGCAACTCTGGAGGAACTAACACCCTGCTCTGAATCCCAGTTCACTTTGACTGAACTCACAAAAATCCACTGTGCTAACATAAAAAATCCCACAGTTTACAAAAAAATTTCTAAGAGTAAGAATGCTAAGGAGCAAATGAAGTTACTTATGAGTCCAGGAACACAGAGCAAGAAAACCTCTGTAAGTTTTAAGATTAATAAACCTGACAAATACATTTAAACAAGGCACCAGCATTAATTTGTTCCTCCTGCTTATACATGCACAGTGCAGTGCAGACTAAAGCATATTAACAACTTCATAACTTTTAGCTTTTACTTACCTAAGCTTAGAAAATCTGTCACAGTTTAACTTCACAGGCTCCTGAAATTTATTGTTTCATGGAAAAATGTCAATTTACCATATAATTAAAATTAATAAAATGTACTTAAATAGCTGTGTTTATGCTCATTATTTTAGTACTCCCTCAGCATCCCCAGGAGATGAATTTCATAAAATGAACATTCCAAAAAGCTTAGTTTAATCTTGTGTTTACAGCAAACATCCTGCTTGTATGTCAGACAGCACAGTGTATTTGGATACAGGTGTTATTATTATACCAGTTCATACAGGGAGCAGGCAGCTGGGGTGACTGCTTTACCTTGCAGTTCATGTTTGCTTGTAGAAAAGCCAGGAACAACAAAACTCCAGCACAGCCAAACAAGAGACACCCGTACAGGACACCCTCACCCCTGAGGGCAGGAAATCACAAAGAACCCTGTCCACTGCTCTCCTCCCCAAGGGCAGCAAGACACAACTCAGGCACAAATTAGAGGACTTGGTCTGTATTACTGCCTGGCACGTGGACAGCCTGTAGAGGGCAACAAGTAAGAAACTATTAAAAAAAGAGTGAACCAACCAAAAATGGAAATAGAAGAAATCCAAAATCTTCATCCGTGAAAGAAATGTAAACTGGCTAACAGAAAACAGGAGAGGAGGATGCTCATCACTCAATAGGGCACCCGCACTCCCTTGGTTGAGACTCTCCGGCTTATCCATCTGATCTCTGATAAAGGGGGACTTATTCATGATCTTTCCTTAAAGCAAAGGAGCATTTTTCCAAAACACGACTACTCAGGTGTCCAAATTTGGAATAGTGTCACAAATATCTGGAACACTGTCACTCTCCTAAAACTAACCATAAAAGGCTATTTTGTTCAAAGTAAAATTCGTGTCTTATTTTTAAAAAAGTATGATCTGTGTATGATTAAGCAATTAAAAACAGTGAAAGCCTCAACTGAAAGGTAAGGCCCAGAAAGTTTTAGGCAAATAATTGCATGTAATCAGATGATCCTTTAAGGAAAAGAAAATAGTTTAAAGTTTCTACACATTACCCCTGAAGTGTTTTTTGGAGTCATGATAGCTTGAATTAGGGGGGGGAAAAAAATCTTCATTAAAGCAAAGAGCAAGTTCTTTCTCAGAGTGCTGGCAGGCTGTCACAGATTCAGACTATATTTTAAGATAGAAAAAAATTCTAATCAGAAAAATTAATGTTTTAATAAAAATTGGCTGCAATGTAGCTATGAATGGCTTCAGACTTATTATATGGTCTTTAAGATTCTTGTTAAGTACTGAGTCCTCACTCATATCAGTGGGATTTCTATTCAGAACAAACAGAAAACATAAAACCTACAGCTAGTAACTGTAGGAGTGAAATGCATATGCATGAATTATTTCTTCCCCAGCAGTTAAATAAATAAAGCAGAATGATTTCATTAATTCTAAAGTAAGGAAAATCTAACATCCATTCAAAAGAAAATATAATTTAAACCTACTAATACCCTCAACTGTAGTTTTATTTTTAATCTATCTTGAAAGAAACAATCCTCATACGCAAGATTCAGCAAGTTTTGACACAGCTAATTAATTTCTCACTAATCCTTCCATCACTTGAATAAGACAAAGGAAAAGCTTTGGCAGAAAATGTTTCCAGGACACAAGTGACAAGGTTCTTTACAAATACTATTAGAGAAATGGAGCACTTCCTACTTAAGGAGCACAATGCTTAAACATAAACCTCACACAGCTAAGTTGAAAATTACTGCAACGAATTCCCTTCAGAGCATCAGCCCACGGTGAAGAAGCAGTGGATGTGCCCCTGGAAGGCCGCGAGTGCAGCGCACTGGCTCGGCCGGGCCGCACCTCCTCCACAGCCGGCGGCAGAGAGCGGCTCCGGCTCACACGGCTGGCTGCGCCCGGCGCTCAACCCGCGCTGACATTTCCATCGATTCCAGGCCGCGACCGCGACGCCTCTGGACTGGCGACAACGCAATCGGCGGCCTCGTCCCACGCAAGCTCGGCTCACAGACCTCACAGCGCCAATGAGCTCGGCACAGATGCAGAACAAACCAAAACTCTGCTATTTATTTCCTCAGGACAGCCCGTGTAGTGTTAGGAACTCCTACATAAGATGATGATTTAACCTAAGTCGTACCCTCTCCCCACATTCCAAAACTTCTAATGGATAAAAGAAAGAATACAGTCGATAAAGACATGTATTTATCTATTTTAAAAAAATCAGTAGCAAAACACATTAGCCCTCTGTAACTTAAGTGTTACACAAAACTAAATCCCTGCATGCCTTCTCCCCAAGCCCAGCCACGATAAATCAGCCAACTGCATGGATCTGGGAAGGACAAAGAAAACACCAGAGAAGCTGTCTGGGTAGGAATCTGCTGTAGTCTGAAAGCACAAGTAGTAAAAAGACAAGTCTGATGGAGAACAAGGGGAACACTTTACAGTTTACAGATAAAGACATTATCAGTAATATTGCAGCCTAAACAGTGCTGCCAATAAAAGTAGCAATTTAAATTTCTTCTCCAGTAGATTATTTAAGAAAATTTAATACTAAGTTAACTTCCATTTTCAACACACTCTTATTTTCCGCTGAGAAGTCAGCACAGGAGCCAAGGGGAGTACACAAAGTTACACCTGCGTTGTGCAATAGTTAAAATTTTGGTTTTGTGCAATTAAAAAAAAAAAAAGTAATCTGAGAGACAAGATCTGTAAATACATTTACTCATTGGTCCAAACAAATCTTCTTTGACAACATAATCCATCAAACTAAATGGTATTTTAACTACCAGGCTCTTGATCACCAGCTGAACATAAAATCCCTAACTGGAGTACAAGGATCTCCAGAGAGTAAACAAAAATTAAGGTCAGCAGGCAGCAGTGACTGCAACCTCTGCTGTACGACTGGAGAGACACAGCCTTGCTTCATCCCAGTTGTTCCCTTTGTGTCAACACCTTGTTCTAATCACTTTTTAACACTTTATACCCTAAAAACTCTTGGGTTTGATCACTTGACTACACAATGTCACAAGCCTGACCACCTGCACATTAACACGGTTATAAAATTAGCTTTTATGTTACCGTGTCTAAAGAAGTAGCAATTTATCATTATCACAATTTAAAACAGATTTGTTCAGTATTTTGAATCATTTCTAACACCTTTGTTAACATGGCTGAAGGCTGTAGCACATGTTTTCAGCTCCGACAGCAACACAACAAAAAGTGTTGGTGCAAACAGGAACGCGGATCGGAAACCCAGCCCACTTGCCCCCTCTGAAGAGCGGCAAATACTGACGACAAACAGCGTTCCTTACCTGGCAGCGTCAGTTTTCAACTCAGCCCGGAACCTGGCAACAGCGAGTTCAAAACACCCGACCTCTGCCGACCTCACCCACAACAAACCTCCCCCCGACCCTACCGCGAGTAACAAACACCGAGCAGAACGTAACTAAACCACTTCCATCGGGGGAGAAAAACAGCGCGTTCGGCTTAGGATCATCGAGGGTGGAAAATGCCTCTGAGATCATCCAGTCCAACCATTCTCCCCCAACACCGCCACTGTGTCCCCTAACCACTAAACCACAACACCCAGAGCCACATCCAGGCGCTCCTTAAACACCTCCTTAAACTGGTGACTCCACCATCTCCCTCGGCGAGCTATTCCAACGCCTGACCATCGTAAATGTGAAATATTTTTTACATTATCTAATCTGAATCTCCCGTCTCATCTTAAGACCACTTCCTCTGGTTCTCTCACTGCAGGCACGGCAAAAGAGTCCAACCCGCGTCTCATTACAGCCTCCTTTCACGGAGCTGTAGAGAACGGAAAAAAGGAGGACACAGTAATGCCCACAAGCCGCCAAGGCAATATCCTGCGACGAAAAGCGCTTTAAGGACAAGGCCTGTTTAATGAAGCAAAGCTCGCCCTCACCTTCTGGAAACTGACACCACTGTGAGCAAGAAATGGAAATTCGGATTTTTTTTTATTTTTTTTTTTCTCCCTTGCGGCAAACAAGCGGCGGTGGGAGCTGGGACCGAACGTCCCGGGCTTTGTCCCGCCCCGAGTCCCGGAGGGAGCCTTGGGCAGCCGCTCCCTCCCCGAACTCCCTGCGATCCGCGAGCCCCACCAAGGCCAGGCAGAGCCCCCACAGCAGCCGGGGCCATTCCAGCACTGCGGGGCCTGCGCCGGCCGCGCCGCGAGGCCCCGGTACTAGGGACGCCTCTGCCGAGCACCGCGGCCCGGCCAAACGCCCGTTCTCCGCTGTCCCTACCTCCCGCACGGCCGCGGCCGGCCGGCCCCGGGCCCGCCTGCCCCGCACTCACCCGCCGGTGGCTCCTCAGCGCGGCCGCCGCTCGCGCCCGTCCCCTCCCGCGGCTCCCGCCGGGACAAACGGCAGCGGCCGCAAACAGGAAGCGCCGCCAGCGCGCGCCGTCACTTCCGCCCCGCCGCTTCCGGAAGTTTCTCGAACGGCCTCTCCAGGTGTCCCGTGTGAGCGGAGGGCGCCCCCTGCGGGCAGCCGGAGGCGCTGCGCCGGAGCGGGGGCGGGGCCGAGGATGGGGCGGGGCTTCGCGAAAGGGCGGGACCTCGTGAGGGGAGGCGGCTGCGGGCGGCGCGGGGCCGGTGTGTGTTTGTGCAGCCGCACGTTTCCAACGAGCGACGTCTGCTCCGTAGAATCACAGGATGTCTAGTGGGCATGATGGTGTTCAGTCCTAGGTTGGACTCTTAGAGGTTTTTTCCAACCTGACAACGTGATTTTGTGAAGCAGCTGCCCAGGTGTGCAGCTCAGGGGAAAGGAGAAGGAAAAAGAATAATGTTGAAACACATTCTTTGAATAGGTGAGTTTGTCTGGTAGAAGTGAGATGACAAAATTTCTTCCTCTTTTGTGTCTTTACTGTCAAAAACTGGGGGTGCCAAGAGGATGCACCAGGCTATGCTCGGTGGTGCCCAGCAACAGGACACGAGGCAATGGGGGGAAGCTGAGGCACAGAAGTTCCACCTGAACATAAGAAAGAACTTTACTATGCAGGTGACCATGCACTGGAACAGATTGCCCAGAGGAGCTGTGGAGTCTCCCTCACTGGAGATATTCCAGAAGCATCTGGATGCAATCGTGTGCCACGTGCTCTGCGATGACCCTGCTTGAGCAGGGAGGTTGGACCAGATGACCCACTGTGATCCCTTCTGACCTGACATGTTCTAGGTTCTGTGAAGAAAAATGCAAAAAGTGATGCCTGGGTGTGGTGCTGTAGGGAAAGGTGAAAAAACAACAAATAATTTTAAGAAACACTCTTTGAATAGGTGAGTTCAGTGGCTAGAGGTGAGATGACAAAATATTTTCCCCCATGTGTATTTAATTTGTAGTCTCAAAAATTGTAACTCTGGCATACAATTCCTTTGAGGTCAGATTCCTCTCCCTGCATGTAGTACCTGGACAGAGCCCTGCACTGGGTGAATGCATTAGGGTATCCTTTGTGTTATATTCGAGTATGTCCTTTTCTGAGTGCCATGGCTGAGAACAAAGTATAGGGCAGCAAAGTTATTATTCTGTTTTTAAAATATGGACTTTATCATGCTTTAAATTGCTGTAAAATTATATTTCTTGCCCCTTATTTAAAAAGTGGAGGCATTAATTTCTAGATCACCAAAGTGAAGTTAGAGAGTTTCCATGTCTAAAACGTATGCTTCCCAAATAAAGTCAATTAAAAGGCTACTCATTATTTAGGAAGTGTTTGTGTGGGAGTGGGGTCAGTTCAAAAAGACAAAAGCTAGCTTGAAATAAGGCAGAGGAAAACCTAAAACAAATCAGCAGGACAAGTAGTAGGACAACCCTAAGTATAGGCTTGGTGCTTTGGGGAAACGCAAGCTTCAAAAGAAGTATTGTTGATTATTGATGCTAAGTTGTGGTTGTGGAAACATTTCTTCAAAATTACAGCAAAGAGATGCCTCACTCCATTATTAGTTTCTCATCAGCAAGCAGCTGTGAAGTCCAAATTGTTGATCCACTAGGAAAGAAAAAAACTCAAAGGATTAGTAGGTTAGACTGGCTCTTCCTAATGGGTGAGGTTCAGACCTCAGAGGCTTCACAGCCTGGTAAATGCAAAAGCAGGTCAGTACTGTGTGGTGTGGGAGGAGACCATATAAGATTTTGATTTAATCCTTTAAACATTTCTTGATGTGGAAAGAAAGGTTTTTACCCAACCTTTCATAACTGATTACAGGGGAGAAAAAAGTGTGAAGAGTCCTAAAACCTGAGCTGCAGTAAGCAAGACTGAAGTTGCACAAGGCAGTCTCTTTGGTTTAATAATTTAAAGAGCAGATTTTATATTTACAGTTAAGGTATGATGGATGCCAACCATAAAACTTTGTTTATCCAAGCAAACAGAACATGTCAAAGAAGCACGATTCCATGTAGATCTAGAGGGTTGGAATCCAAACACTGCCTGCATCAATGCAACCAGGACCATGGCTTCTTTAACACAATTGTTACCATTACATTAATCTGCCCGGAGATTTTCTAACACTGTTCTGACTCTAGACAGCATAGCCTGCTTTAGCATCCTTCAGATATAGGAATAATATTTGGGAAGGCTTAGAGACCAATTTTGCATTTGGAGAAAGGAAGGTATGAGAAGGTAAAGTGCCTGCTCATAGCTGAGGGCAGGGCAGTTTGGCATTTTCTACAGCAAAATACTAAGAATGCAAATAAATGTTTCCTAACAAAGTTATAGATGAAAACAGAGGACTGTGTAGTTATAATATATATATATATATATTAGTTTATGCTTGTCTTTGAAGAAGATATGAAGACATTTCCCAAGAGTTTGCAGAATGGGCAGTTTACAGAACCACCAATTACAAATATCATTTATTAGGGCACCTATTTTTTTTTTTTTAATTTAGGATCTTTGATAGCTCAGATTATCTCTAACACTGAACAATAACATGAATTATTTACTTTTTAGAGGTTTGCTTATGTTGTGCACATGATATTTAATTTTTAGTTCTCTGTTACAGGGAAAAGCAGGTGATTTCAATTAAAATAGCACGTGGCTAAGCCCACCAGAAGAGGTACTGCAGGGGATACTGAAGCACATACATTCAGGATTGCCCTGTCCCATGCAGAATCCAGCACTTGCCCTGGCTGAACTTCATATGGTTGGTGATTGGCCAGCCCCCTGATTTGTCTGAGTCTCTGCAGGGCATCTCTTCCCTCAAGGGAGTCAGCAACTCCTCCCACGTTAGTGTCCTTGGCAAACATACTTAGTGTCCCTTCCAGTCCTGCATCCAAGTCATTTATGAGGATGTTGAGCACAGGGCTGAGGCTGGGGCCCTGTGGAACCCCACTAGTGACAGGACCCCAGCCTGGTGTAACCCCATCCACTGTAACCCTTTGTGCTGACCATGAGCCAGCTGGTCACCTATCCCATGGTATGTTTGTCCAGCTGTGTGCTGGACATTTTGTCCAGAAGGGTCCTGGGAGAGACAGTATGGAAAGTTTTACTGAAATCCAAAAGGATTACATAACTGGCTCATGAACATTTTTAATTAGATCTATTTATAGGACTAATAAAACCGAAAAGCTTATAGATTCAGAAAACCTTCAAAGGTATTTGCAAAAGTATTAAGTGTCCTATGTTTTTATGGCTTGCTACTTGTAACAGAAGCCTGGAGTACTGTGTTAAGAGGCATTAAATCTGATGTTGCTGGCAGAGCATCAACATTCCAATAACAAAAGAAGGTCTGGTGGGTCTGTTAAAGCTGGTATCAGAGATCCAGGCTGATATCCAAGTGCTGAATCATTGAGTCAGAATAAATGCTGCAATCAAAGAATCTTAATTGTTTAAGAATTTTCAACTCTCCTCTGGGAACAAGAGGGAGAGGTCTGTCACTTCACCTAACTTCAGCTGTCTCAAACATCCAGTTTGAGCCCATTGACTGTGAAGAGAAAGAGGAGGAGAGGGCACCTCCAGGGCACAGTTCATTCCACCCTCTTTGGAGATGTGTTTCGATAAAGAAGGAACAGCCTGCCAGAGCTCTGTCCCAGGGCTGCCTTTTCTCCCCAAGCACCTCGACAGCCACCTCACAGATGCCTGAAGTTAAGTGAGATGAATTCAGGTCTAACTGGTAGCTATAACCTAATGATGGAAATAATGTGGCAGCATTCCAGGAGGTATTAGCGATTCACATAGTTCCCAGATTCTTTTTTTAAACCATCTTTTATGATTTATGGAGGTCAATTATATAAAGCCCATCAGAACACAAGAAACACTTAAAAATGCTGCATTAGAGAGACATTAATATTAGTCCTTCTGAGGTGGTAATGGCTGTAGCCTTCCCAGCCTGCTGCTCTGCCCTGCTGCTTAATGCATCCAGTTTTTCTATTTACAGATTTACAGATTCTATTTTTGGTGTTAACAAAGAAAATGAGCATATGTATCAAAGTATTCTCATGTCATCTAATTATAGTACTGCTGGCAAAGTAATTCTGGAAAGTGCCACTTAATTAAATATAAGCATTAACTTTTTGCTGATAGCTTATCAGAAACAATTAGACTTGAAATACGGGCAATACACCTAGAGTTTAAAACTTTCAGTAGAAGCATTCAAAGCATGAAATAACCCATTTTCACTTGCATTCTCCAGTGTTTTCCAAGCTTTCCAAGTAAGCCAAGCACAACCTCAGCTTTCATCAGTACAGTGTGTATTAGGTAATCTAGAGACTGCAAGTTTATCTGGACTCCTCTGTGTACAGAAGCCTGAGCTAAGTGGATGCATTTGAAAGTGGTTAAACCACGTCAGCACAGTTGATGTTTTCGCTAATTCCTCCTGAAATATCAGATGTATTCTGCTGATTATTTGGGGTCTGCACACAACAACCCAGGAACTATTTGGGGCAGTCAGATGATCTCACAGCTTATGCCAAGTGCTTATTCTTTGCAAAGACAGCTTGATCAGCATTTATGTTCATTAACTTGATCAGGGATATGCTTTTTTGTCCATGCAACAATGCCAAATATTAGTTAATTCTATGTAATTTTTCATCAATAGCCAGATAGATCTACCAGATAATTATACCTAAAATATCTCTGCAGAACTTTGAGCTCTGCTGCTGTTTGTCTGAAAGTGAAGAGGGGAAAAAAGAAAAACAGAGCTGTAATGAAAATAATTATTCTTAAGTAAAGATACAAGGGCTAGGAGGAAACAATTCCTTCAGAAGGTTTGTTTGACAACATACAGCAAAACTACATAGCAGCTGAGGAGAGATGCTTTTCCCAGGTCTAACATTTGGGCAAGCAGCAGTAGCAGGAGGATCTGAAATGCCTGTTTCTTCCTTCAGCAATCAAGAACTATGTGTAACTATCAACAAAGAATAAAATAGAAATAATGTAAAACTACTTTTCAGTTAAA